GGATAAAGAAAATGTGGTTTTTAAAATAAAATCGAGTACTACTCAGCCATAAAAAATGAGAAATTAAGAGACATTTATAGCTAAATGGATGCACATTGAGGTGATACTCTTAAGTGAAATAAATAGGACACACATATGGAAATAGCAAAGAGTTTTTCTAGTGTGAGAAATTGAAAGTGTAAATAAGGACTAAAAAGTATAATAGATAATGTGAAATAGGAAGAAAAGGGGCAAAGAGGAAGGGGAAGCGGGAGAGGTGGGGGAAAGGAAAGAAGAGAATGGAATTAATATGAGAAAATGAAAAAATGGAAACAAAGTCTTTATAAATAGGGAGGGATGGAGGGGTTGAAGGAAGGGCAAAGGAGTACGGAAAAAAGAAGAACCAAGAGAGATTATGTAAAGGTGCAAATTTCCAATGATGAGTGTCATTATATTGTATACCTAAAATGTACCAATACAATTAATTAAAGAAAAAAAGAGTTAGGATACAACAGGGCCCTTGCAGTCACTTCCACTCTATATTTGGGAAACCTACTCCAACTTTCATATTAAAGCTTTCAACATCCGATACTTTATAATTTTTATTTTGTAATTTTTTCGTGTGTGGCTCTAGGGATTAAATTTAGGGCCTCGTTCACGCCAGGCAAATGCTTGCTTTACCACTGACCTATATCCCCAGCATTATTTTGGGAAATCATCTTCAAGATGTGGAGACTAAAACCAAGAAGCCTGTATTTAAGGAGAATATAAGTAATTTGAAAAGAAAAGCAAGTACTTTTTAGGAACAAAGAGGGGGCGTTAAATGAGTATGATGGATTTGTTAAAAGACAAGCAATTGAAACAACTCAAAATTGATAAGGATATGCAGCAGCAGAGAAAACCTCTGGTCCTTAAGGAATGCTCTGGCCAAGGAGATCTGTTTTATACCACACCGTTTTCTGTTAGATGAAGGCTGAGCCACATAGTGACCACACAGCTGCTGAGCAGAGTTCGCTTAACAGCCTGCTATATAGGCAGCTCACATCCTTCAGGGAAATGCACACAGCCAGCTGCTCTTAACCCTGCAAGACTCGACCTGGCACAGCAATCTCCAGTGAGTTTCCACAGGAGACTTTCCCTGACATATCCTGATGGTTCCCAGGACAGGGTTCCTGACTTACCAGTACGCCAGGGAAGGGTGCTCCTGGAGAGTTTTCGTCGGGAAGGCTGGCAGCGTCTTTAAATCTTTCCTAGCATTTTCATCACTGAAAAGAAACATAATATGGCAATGTCAAGTGCCTTTACCTAAAAAGTTACTGAAGCTGCTTACCAAAAGAGTGAGACCTGAAAAGTAACTTCTTATAGAGTGTTAGGCTGTCTTAACAACGTCAACACACAAGGTACTGTGCTAGAAGGAGAAACAGCCCTCAGATTTGACAACCAAGACATACAACGGTTCCTTGAAGTTATAATACTCTCTGTATGTGTCTATTTTTTTATATCACATGATTAGAATTGTGCATTTTTCATATTGCATTTTTATATAGCATTCTTCACACTTCATTATGCACTCCATGTCTCCATGTTCCTGTAGCATCTTGTTATTTATCTTTAGTGGCTACCTAATATTTACCATGTTGGAATACAGGTTATCATACAATCATTCACGTATCATTACCAATTTTTCACCATAGATATCACTGCAATAAAATGGTTTTGGTAACATTGCAATGGTAGTAGAACTTTCTACTACCCTTCTTTGGTTTTCCACCAGCCTCTGAAATACAATGGACCAAGTCAGTCCTCTCTGTGGAAATTTCATCTCTGTGGAAACCCCTGGAAACAGAAGACTGGAAAATATATATCTGATAAAACCCAAGATATCCTTCAAACTGCATCAATTGAACTAAAATGTAGCTTCTGTAAAGTTCTGCCATTCTCTAATTATAAAATGGCGAGACAGCAGCTGTTGAGAGAAGGGTGTGGTCTTTATGAAATTTAGAAAGAACAAGTAATACGAACGAGTAACATGAGCCGGTTATAAGTGGTCCTGCACTGTACCCGTACAAGAACAAATTCTGACTGATTTCCAGTATTGGAAGAGATTCTGTGAGGAAACAATGGCGACTCTGTTAACATCTGAAAGGCCTTGGAGAAATCCAGGAAGAAGCTACTCACACAGCATGATGCTAACTCTTCCTTTCCTACTCCCCACCTCTTCTCATTGCTACCACCCTTTGTGGAAAGTTTAGAAGAACCAGAAACTTTGTTTAGGACATTATTTTCCTCATGGAAAGCTCAACACTAGCCTTCCCATGTAGAGAGTACTGTTCTTACCCATGTTTTTCTGGTGAAAGTGTGAAGTTCAGAGAGCCTAAGTCTCCATGTTCCCCTGCTACTGGGCGGAGGAGCCAGAAGGAGCCCGTCTGGTAGGCCCCAAATTGTTTTGTGTGTGTGTGGGTGTACTGGGGATGGAAGCCAGGGCCTTGCACATGCCAGGCAGATACTCTACCACTGAGCTACACCCCCAGCCCTCCAAAGGCCATGTTCTTAACCACTGTATTATCTTATTACCACACATTCCAGGGAAGTGTCCTAAAGTGTTAATAAGAACATTCTGGTCCCTGGAAAGGCTCAGCCCCGCTTCTACCTGATCCCGAGAGCCAAATAAAAACAATGGCAAATTAAGTTTCAGAATCCATCACATATGCAGTTTTACATTAGTTTTCCTGGGGTTTGCCCAAAGGGGATCATGACATTGAAGTACATGGGCCCCCCCCCCCTCAAGTGGAGGACCAAACATGGACCCCAAGATGAATTTCCTTCCAAAGCACTAATCCGCACTCAGATCAAGTGTTCCACCCTGGTCACCTTGGGGTCCAGGCATGGCCTCCGGGTGGGCTCTGCCTGGCCACATTCTACTCTGCCGTCTGAGAAACATCTCCCTCCTATTCCTCCTCAGCTTGTGTAAGTGCTTCTCCTTTAATGCCTACGGGGAAGTTTGTTTTCTGGGGTTTTTTTGCCAAGATTCCTGACCATGCTACAGGGCAACGAAGTGAGCCCACTGAGCAGACTCTACATAATTTACCCTCTTTTCTTAAGAACAGATAAGAAGAGAGAGTGTGTGTCAGGGAGACACTGTGATTTGCACCTGTCAACATTACATTTTAAAACCAGGGTTGTGGCTCTTCCTACAGGTGAAAGATTTAGCTTTCTAAATTACCACAGGAAATAAAAAGTCACTTGGCTCCTGTTTTTACGTAAGAATAAATCTCTATTCATTTGAAATTTAAGCGGTTAATCATACTGACAATCTTGGGAAACTGGTTTGGGTTTCCGGAAAATCAAAATATACCACAATCCAATTTATTCATACTAAAGGTCAACTGTCAACTCTCAGAATTAATATTTATTTTCTTAATAATTTCTCTTATGGGGGCTGGGGATTTAGCTCAGTGGTTCTGCCACCTGCCTTGCAAACGCAAGGTCCCGAATTTGATCCCTGGCACCAACAAAAAAAAAAAATTTTTTTTTGTATGCTCTGTCCTTCAAAGCCCCTTTTTCTTTTTGCAGTGCTAGGGATGGAACCCAAGGCCTCATGCAAGCTAGGCAAGCACTCTACCACTAAGCTATATTCCCCTGCTATTCCCATTTACTTTTAACAGAAGCTGGCTCATGGTTTTGGTTTTTAGGAAGGGCAGATGCATGTATATTTTCTTAAGTGATAAACCAAGGACAACACTGTTTTTTCATATCATCACTAACCACATATACTTTGTTATACTTTTGGGTTCAGTTGAATGTATTCTAAGAATCCAGGTGATCCCTTATGGCTTTGGGTATGGTAAATTTTGTGGCAATAAAGATCTCAGTAGATTAGATTGTTATGTATCATGGTTTTACTCACTCACTTAACAAGTATGTGTACATCTATACTGTATCCCTAGCATGTAGAACTGAGTGTCATATGATGGAGTTTTAACTCACAAAAGTAGTCAAGACAAAAACCAAGAAAGAGGAGAAAGCGTAGGAGAAATTTTATCCACATTCTACTCAAAAAGCTCACTTGGAAAATAAGTACAAAATGGGAGACTTGAAGCTCCTGCCCTTTAAGATGGTTTTTGTCCAGTGTCCCCCAAATCACAAGCATTTTCTAACATTTAAGCACTTAGTGAATGTTGGCTAAATGCAAGCAACTTCTGGATTTAGGATGTAACTAGAGAAATAGTTGTATGCTTCAAGTGGAGAGAAATTCTGCCTGCGTTGAGGTATTTTTTGGGGGGGAGGGTCTCACTATGTAGTCCAGGCTGGCTTTAAGCTCACAGCAATCCTCCTGCCACAGCCTCCAGAGTGCTGGGATTACAGGTGTATGCCACCACACCTGGTTTGTGTTGGAGTTTTTGAAAGATAAACTTTGGTTTTCAACATGTCATATTTCTCAATATTTTCAAGAATACTTTTCACTCTACACAATTAGAATCTACCAATTTATAAGATGTTATATGGCATTATTTATCTAAAAATACTGGCTGAATAAATCAATAAATTACCAGAGGTTAATCATGACCCAGCACTCTAAAGAACAATAAATATTTATTCACTGAGACCTTTTTTGTACTAATCAATCACTGAAAAGCAACTAAATATGTATTATCAGAGAAGTGGCTTAGGGATTTTTTTTTTTTGGCACCGGGGATTGAACTCGAGACCTTGAGCTTTCGAGGCAGGCACCAGAACCACTGGGCTAAATCCCCAGCCCAAAGGATTGGCTTTCTTTTTTTGTTTTGTTTTGTTTTGTTTTGTGGCACTGGGGAATCAAACTTGGGACCTTGTACTTGCGAGGCAGGTGCCGGAACCACTGAGCTAAACCCCCATCCCGGCTTAGGGATTTTTAAGGAGAGTCACACTATTTTAAAGAGAATTTAGTCAGCCTTACTAATCTATGGTTTCCACATCTGTGGATTCAACCAATGACAGGCTGAAAACATTAAAAAAATTTTTGTCTGTACTGAACACACACTGACTTTTTTCTTGTCATTATTCCTGAAACAATGCAGTAATAATAACTATTTACATAGCATTTACATCATATTAGGTATAAACCATCTAGAGATGATTCAAAGTGCATGGGAGGGCATGTGTAGGTTATATTGAAATGCTACACCATTTTATACAAGGGACCTGAGCATCTGCAGATTTTGGCATAGGAGGGGGGTCCTAAAAGCAATTCTCCATGAATACCAAGGGACCATTCTAGTTCAGCAGATGGAGCACAGGGGATTATTTCTTTTAAGGTGGTGAAATTATTCTGTATGATACTATGATGACACTATGAATTTGTCCAGAGGATATAACTTTGAATAGCACAACACAAAGAGTAAACCCTAGCCTGTCTACAGGTTTTTGTAACAAATGTACTACACTTATGCAGGATGTTAATAAAAGGATAAACAGTATGTGAGGAAGGAGAGGGGGCATGTAGGAACTCTGTGCTTTCTACTCCATTTTTCTGTAACTTTAAAACTGCTCTAAAGAATAAAGTCTGTTAAGAACAAAAAGAAAGAAGTATGCTTTAGATTAGTGGTTTTCAACTGGAACAATTTTGTCCCTCAGGGGACATTTAGCAATGTCTGAAAACCATTCTTGATATTTACACCTGGGAAGGAGGTGTTATTGGTAGCTCGCGGATAGAGGTCAGGATGCTGCTGTACATTCCACATGCACAGGACAGCTCAACAATAGAGTTATCTCACCTGAGTGTCAATGGTGCCAGGGTTGAGAAACTCTGCAATAGATTATTTTAAAAATTCTGAGGTGGCTGGGGACATTTGTCTAGCAAACATGAGGTCCTGGGTTTATACCCAGTGCCACCAGCAAAAGGAAAGAAAAGAAAAGAAAGATCAATCTTAGAATTCTACCCTAATACATTTTCAATTGTGACTTTTATACTTAAAGATGTTTTTCTTATAAATATAAGATTATAGATATCAGAGATCTCAGAGGCAAATGCCTAATAGGAGCCAGGTGAGGCAGGCATTAGAAAATCGACTGCACTGGCTAGCCAAAAATCAGCAAGTTATACTTAGCATCAGACACAGGGGCACAAGGGAAAGGGAGGGGACTAAGAGGAAGTGAAAACACAGCACATATGAAGGACAGACGCTCCTTGAGTTACCCATCATAAGTTAAAAATTCATAAGTTAAAATCTATTAACTACATTCACCCTACTGAACAATATATCATAGTCTAGCCTACCTTAACAAT